TCCTCTTTTTAAGTCCCCTGGAATTCACAGCAGACTTTATCAGTGAGGACTAGAATGGCAGGGGGGCCTCCCAGAGGAGAGGGGTTTAGGATGGACCTTGAAGGATGGGTGGCATCTGGGAGCAGAGAGGTGGACAGGGCAGTGGAAGGGCTTGAGCTGAAGCAGGGGAGTGGAAGTGAGGACAGCTGGTGCAGTTTTAGTGACCGAGTGAGCAGCGGAATGGCCTGATACGAAGTACAGGTGATAAGAATGGGAGCTCCAATGACCTTGTTCATTCCTGACCTTCTGTCACAACTAATGGCTATAGAAAAGCCACCTAATTTCATCAGTCCGTGGGGAGATAGAAATAATCAGAGCTAGAAATTTACTTAGAATGTATGTCTTAAACACTTCGCATGTTATAATTCCTCTGATACTCAGAGCAACCCTATGACACAGGCACTATTACTCTCCACCATTTTACAGATGAGAAACGTTGAGGCACAGAGAGGGTACGTAATTTGCCCAAGGTCACACAGCTTCTGAGGAGCAGAATCAGTACTCAAGCCCAGGCACTCTGTGCCCAGCTCCATGCTCTTAACCATGGCATGAACCTCTTTGCTGTATCTTCTCTAGCCGGCAGCTCTCTTCACGCTATGGCTTATTGCCAGCAGATGGAAAGGGGACCCCACTGACACTGTCATACTGGACACTCAGCCAGGTGTTCATCAAATGGCTATTTGTCCAGCACAGTGGGGAGGGGAGGATTGCTAAGGGAGTTACCCAAGAAAGAGGAGACAATGGGCTGTGGCCACAGTCTACTGCGGTCACCGAACCCAAGTCCCTAGGAACAAGCAGAGAGCATAACGCCTTCCTGCTGAACCAGGGGCACCACCAGCAGTGTGGTGGCACTTGAGGGCGCTCTCAGCAGGGGCATTCTGAGAACTTCGTGGGAGCTGGCATGTGGCCCAGGCCCCAAAGGGCGCTTTACCGAGTGCCTGCAAGTGAGACTGCTGCCCTGCAGCGAACAGGGACAAGGGGGGTGCGGGCGTCCTCCCGGTGCTGAGCAGCAGCTCCCAACCGGTGAGGCCACCGCTTCACCCCAATCGGCTTCCTTCCCGCCCCTGTCCTCCCGGGGGTCCTCGCACAGGTATTACTAAGTCTCTCCGTGTGGGACCTTCCCGTGCTAAGGAAGAGCTGGCGGAATGGACAGTGGATTGAAGGGGAGTGGGCCAAGGGTCGAGGGTGGGAGGGGGCCAGCACAGGGCCAGGGAGAGAGGGCCGGGGGTCAGGGGCCGGGGCAGGGCGGGGCGCGCACAGCAGGGGATGCAGAGGCCGCACCGCCGGG